GGCGCTGACGAATCCTGAGCCAATTGTAGAGGAGGAAAAATGGTCGTATTTGCGAAGACGAACCGAAAGCAGTTAAGATAGGGACAAAAAGGATCTGTACTAGCATCGTTTTTGTCTAGGATGGAAGGAAGTTCTTAAGCCTAAGTAAGCTTATGTAATGTAATTATATTATTACTATCTAGCTGCACCCCTCCACGCTTATCTGTGGCATTTGCGGTTGCATTGATAAGAAATAAAGAAGAACACTTGCATGAAAAATAGATAAAAATAATCTTTGCAGCGGGTTGTATATCGTGTCAAAATTTGAGCTCAATCGGTTCAGAACTATTTCAGATTTTGAATCGTACACAAGCCGATTTAACATTTTATATAGAGACAAAGATGAACGAGAGTTGCCGCCTTCATAAGGTGCCATTGTCCAGCAGTGCACTGCGATAGGCTGATGATGATTAATAAGTACGAGAATATGTATTGGATCCCTCTAGCTCTATGTAGCGGTTTTTACATAAAACGTAATTTATGAAATTACACATTCTTGAAAATAAATAATTTTGCACTTTTTCTACATTATAAATGTTAAGTGTTCCACTTATGATACGCTTTCATGCAACATATTTGTTTAAAGAATAGTACAAAGAATTATCTTCATATACTAGATAATGATAGTCTTGACTTGAAGAAAGTAGCTGGCAGCGGGTAGACAAGGACTGCCCAAGGCTGGGATGGTGGGCGCTCCTTGGTGAGGATTCGTTCTGCAGTTTGCGTTGACCCCGACATGACATAACTTACTAATGTAATTCTTAGGTAGCTCTGTACGGGTCAGGCAGGAGAAAGGGTCAATTACCACGATCCTGAACCTGGTCTCATCAATTCACAACAATTCTTTCACTAAATAAATAGCTCAAAGATTATCTATTCGCAGTCTTCACTTTAAGACACCCCAAGTCCCACTGACAGGGGTCTAAACATCTATATCTACTATAATAAAAAGGACCTACCTTGCTACCTTCATCTATTTATCAGGCAGGTCAAGTGTAAGTCTTTTTCTACTCGGCAATGTCACTAAGTCAAATTTTACGTAACAAGTCTTCTATGTGGTAGAATTATGTCAAAGAAAGGTCAATGAATATGAGCCCAATCGTACTTACGTGTTCTGCGTCCGGGTCATGCCGCAATAACCGGATATAAAAGCAATTTGGTCACGACACGTAATACTCGTATTGTGCAACTTTCATGTTTTTTTATTATTTCGTTTAGATCTTGATAGCAAGGGGCTAAACTGATGTAATATTTTTCAGGGTTTTAATATCGGAATTGAATATAAATACTTCTAAATATCTGTAGGTACTCCGGGTGATGACGGATTAAGAATACAGAGTGTTAATACCCCTATTAATTCCGTCGGAGTCGTTTGAGCCGGCAAAGGGAGCAAAATACCTTCGGAAGACAACAACACTGCGCCAAACAATACAAACACTGTACCAACCCGTCTGGCCAGCATGGTATAGTAGGCCAAAACCTCCTTTTTAAGGAGAGGCCTAATATGTTTAGCAGTGGACTATTAAAGGCTGTTGAAATGTGAAATATCTCTAAACCGTAGTAGTTCCTGCTAGTGTTTAGGATCATAGAAACTGGTGGAATAAACTGGTGCGTTTTAACTATTACACGGATAGTTGGCCATTGTCATTAAGTCTTCAGTAACATAATAAAATTAGAATAGATACAGCTATTTTGAACACTACTATTACTTTGCAATTGCATACCATTATTTTCTAAGGCATTTTATAACTTGACAAAACACGTCTACAGATTTTGATGGTTGATTTAAAACTAAGAAGCGTATTTGAATCTTGAAACTAAAAGTAATAATATTTAATAGTAATAAAATAATTAGTGGTTTTCTTTACCATATCGCTAATCCAATAGTACAACTACGTAGTACTTAAAAAAATAACTAAAACGTGATTATGTCATTGTTCTTTTGAATGAGCGATGTGTCGAACAAGTCACCGTTTTGTCGAGACTATTGTCCGATCTTAAAGTCTCCAGAGACGGTGAACCTGCTTCGACAGATAAAGCAAAACGTCTGAAAGTAGATTATATTTCGCTGATGTATACTAATATTTTAGATGTGAAATTAAGTAACAAACATCCATTCATCAATACTAACTATTGATGAATGGATGTTTGTTACTTAATCACGCCAGGACTACTAAACGAAATTGAATAAATTAAGCTACAGTCTGAAATAGTACATGGCTACTGTTTATTCCTTAAAAATTAATTGATAAGATAATTAATAAATTATCTGATCAATTAATTTTTATAATTATTTATAATTACCGCAAAAAAAAGTAGTACTAGTAGATAATGTATTTCCGTGTTTTTAAAATGACTCTTGATCTTAAAAGTAGTATTGATGTATTATATCATCGGGCGAAACTGAGAACGTTAGTTTTCTTTTACTCTTATTTTCTGAAAAAATCTAACTAATATTACAAATGCGAATGTAAGTTTGCATGTTTGTTTTTAACGTTTTCACGCCTTAACCACTAGACCGATTTTACCAATGGAAAGCTACATTATCAGCGAGTAACATAGGCTACTTTTTACGATAATGGAAATAATTGCGGGCGGAGCTGTGGACAAAAGCTGGTATTATATAACAAATAACATACTATACAAGTGCAAAACTTGTTCGTGTACAAATGAAATAAAAATTAAGTGCGAGGCGGTTAATAAACATAATAGTTTAAGTAAAGTGGAATATTTCTTTATTGGTTGTAGGTACTTGACCCGTAAACCACGCGTTCTGTGCGTAACCTCTTTAAATTACGTTCAACGAAATATCCTAAATTTTACCCTTGTACTAATTTCTAGTTTTATTTTCACGTACAAAAATGCCACCCATATAACAAAATCCATGTCAAACTATGAAAGGCATTAGAAATAAAGTGTGTTCAATGGCTGGAGTTAGAGCCGTTATGTCCTATGGCGTAAAGTAAAGAAGAATAGAAATATAGGACACATTGTATAACAGTAGTAATAATACAGATTACCATTTTTTTCCTAGTTTTCTTTAATCCAACAGTAATTCACTGTAAACTACAATTTCTCTTCTCATTTTGATTTACCCATCGAAGTTCATTGGCAAAGCACTGTTTTTATCACATGTTCCTTTGTCGAAAGTAGTTAGTTGTTAAATTCTAAATCTACAGGTGCGCACTACCTACCTGTCTAAGTTAAACTTTGAAGTAAAAAAAAGCCTCAAAATTATATTTTGCATAATATCATAAAAAAAGTAAAAGTCGTATGGAATCAAATCAACTAAAATGATATCCTCGTTTCGGCTCCATATGTCATGACGGGTAGGACGCATTCATTAAAGACTTTCGTCTTAAGGCACTGATCGAGGATGACAACACTCGACGTAGCTGCACGACGACGCAGACGTAGATGTAAATAAATATTTGTGAAACATCACATCAATTTGTAAAAGTAATTGAAATAAATCGTTAAAGCTATTAAATTCACAATTAATGATAACGACGGCAGGCGCTTTACAGTTAGGTGGTGCTTTATCATTTGTCATTTGTTGTTTTGTCATTTGTTGATTGTGGGGCGATAGTGATGGTTATAAATAAGCTTTGGAGAAAACACAAGGCCCTAAAAGCGGAACACCAATAGCAATAAGTACAGAACCGACCTTAAACCATCCAGGCGCTCTGAGAGAGTCAGTCTTTTGGCCAATTACTTATTATAAATGCGAAAGTGATTGTTTGATTGTTTATTACGCTTTCACACCTAAACCGCTAAACCTATTTTAAAAAAGTTTTCACCAATTAAAAGCTATATTATCAGCGAGTAACAAAGGCTGCGATAACCAACATACATGCGAGCGGAGGCCGCGGGCAAAAGCTATGTATAATTAAATAAAATATTGGAAAACCCGTTTTTCGTTTTTTAACTCTAATAACTCTAATCAGCCTGTATTGTCCATCTATTAAAACTTAATATTTAATGTGAAAAACATGTAAATAAACAATTCAAATCAGGATAAGAGATACCCTTTCTTTAAAAAAATTATATACGTAACAGCTTTTATGAACTCTTTTCGTCATTTTTTCAAAGTAGGTACCTTTAAAAAATCTAAAAAGTTATAAGCAATTTCGAAATAGAAAGTCGTACAGTGAGACTACTACATATATTATATTAAAAAAAAGAAAATAGAATTGTCTTTAATTTTACACAATTTTTCTCTTAAAGAAGGCACAGCGCCCCTTTAGGTCGCCCGAAGCCGAGCTGAGCCGCAAGCAGAAGCTAGTATCTATATATTCAGTGTCACCTATATTAAGTCTAAAACCAAGTAGTGTAAGCATTGATTACAAAATTAAAAGTGAGTACGTAATTATGACAAACATTGTTTTGACGTGTCCGCTCGCTAAAAGGTCAAAATGATAATGAAGTTGTATCGTGTGGGTCTATCGGTACATTACAATCGAGGGCCGATTGCGACTTTGTGTATTTGATTGATGTCCTGTAAAACTAATGTTATATAAAGTTAGTTAACAGAGACGCTACCAAGAAGTACTTACGAAGAAGCGGTAAGATGAGCTAACAATTAGTTTATGTTTAAAATATGTATAGGTTCTTAACGAAACGAAACGCTTGGAAAATTTGTTTGACATAGCCTATTAGTACAAGCCTATAAGCAAAAATGCATTTGTGTGAGTTAAAAAAATTGTTCTTTCTTAATTTATTTCTAAAAAGAGGAACGCAGGTACATACAGATGCAAGCAAAAATTAGTGTTTAAGACAAAAATAAACCTTTCCGGCTCTCAAGCGGAATCTAGGAACTAGTATCATAAGATTTGGAATAACGATTTTCATGATGCAGATCTAAGTATAGAAAAGAAAAGTTCCTACACTTATAAAACCCGAAGCATCTGCTTTTATGACGTCACCAATGTCAAAAAATAAAGTATAGAAACGAAACTGACCTGCTGAAAGTTTTTCCGTTGGCTACATGTTCCGGCGCGATACGACTTCTCCGGCGACAGAATCGCGCGCAGACGCCGCGTGCGCATCCCAGTCTCTCCCACAACGGACATCCTGTGCTGTCACTACTTTCTGTATTGTCTGCTATGTCACCATTCATTGTTTACTTTTACACTTTTATGATAACTGCTGGAATACGTTGCACATATATAAGTATAATATAATAAAACAACAATAAAATGCTGTTCACTGATAAGCTAATAGCTTGAGAACAACTTCACAAATTTGATTACTCTTTTCTTTTAACAGTTTATATCAACCTCAGTAAAGTATTTAGGGACAGAAAAATTAAAAATTTACTCGCTAAATGAGTTTTGGACAGGAATTACAATTTGCAAAATCAAATTTCACTCCTTATTTTTTTTTAATGAGACTAATCCCTCCCACACTCACGCCCATTACTGTAACTCCGTGCATCGTGCCCCTATTTATAAAAGGATGGACCCAGCAACCGCACGCTAAGAAAAAGGTATTCCTTTTATATGCTCTCAAGTGGCCGATGAAACCAGTCTTGGCGAGAAATGTCTGGACAAATTTAAACACTATCGGGGTAATTTATTCATGAAAAAATAGGCTATTTGAGCATCATTATCGTCATTATCAACCTTTAATAGTCCACTGCTGGACATAGAACTCTCCTTAGAAAGGATAACCTTTCAAAAAATTATTTTTAATTTCAAACTTATCCGTCTTATCTACGATTTTCACATACAATTAGTTTAAATAATTTTGTCTAAAGTTGTACAAATAGAAAGCAGGCCTAATAGTGTATTTAGTTTTAAAAACGGCTGATACTCTCCTACGAAAGCCGTATAAATATGAACTAAGCAGTACATAAAAACTTTCCTAGAGGATATGTTAATACATTAAATTGTAATAATAATAACACGTTATACTGCTAGGTTGTCAGGCCATGCCAGAAATAATAGTGTGCTTTTCCACCATTAATATTGTGTTACCCTAAGTACTCGTATATTTCCACTTCCATTAATTTATTGTTATTGACATCGCATTGTTAAGAATGGTGGTGAATTATGGTGGCTTTGTTAAACCATCTACATATTACTATAAATGTTTTCAATTTACAATAGGGGAAACAAAAAATATGCCTTAATTTTTTCGGTATAAAAATTGATATTCGAATACATAAAAAAATATATACTCGTACAAACGAATATAGAACCTCCGCCTCTTCAGAAGTCGGTTGGAAATTATTAACTCTAGATAAGCTCATTTTTTTTGTAATGCTTAACTAACCTTTAAGTCATTACATAATTTTGCGGTAATTGAAACAATTGTTTTAGTATATAGATAAGTAAAAAATAAAGGAACGAAACGAACGTCTCCACGTTTCGACCAGGTTATACCGGCTGAATTCACACGGAGATTTTAGGCTATAATTTAGGTGCAAACAAACAAATGCATTTCAATCCACAATTCTCATTATCATACTTTTTAACATATATCATAGGTTTATTCCTTGACCATTCAATTACTTTACAACTACATTATTTACAGAGCAAAAAATTAATTACAACAAATTTACGTGCTATACATTAAAGTGTACTATTAAAGCACGAATAACGCATTGCAACTAAAGTGTAAAATAATAGAAGACAATCAATTTATAGAAAAACAAAATCCTTTATTTTTTATTTTCATGATTACACTTTTATTTTTAATAGTATAAGTGCTTGTCAATTTATTTTATATGATAGGTATATAAGAGACTACAAAACAAACAATAAAGACTATAAAAAACACAGATGTAAAAGTACGTGATATTTCCTCCTTACCTTTATGTTTACGCGAAAACAAAGAAAAGACATGTGCTAGTATAAAAATGCAAAAGAAACTACTTGTAAAATTCTAAACCACATTAAAAGAAGTCGTGTAAATGATATTTCATATCTTGACAATTTTAATTCTTATAATAAAATGCTTCTACGTAATGCTAACTTAAAATATCTTAAAAGTAAATCGAACAAATTAAAGATTATATCTGTTGTGTTCAAATATTATCAATGAGTTATATTTATAAATTATTCACATGGTCACTTTTTATATTTAACTCTTTTCCAACATTGTTACAAAAAATGAAAATCGTACAATCGCGTGTCGGCACGGGGGGCGGGAACTTCGCGCGTGTCGACCGGTGTACGGCAAAGGAACCACTAGTTCAGCCAAAGCAAATCGTATCGACTATACGGTGTATACGCGACCTAGGAGACGGAGGTCTACCACTTGCTCCGTTTACTTTATTTATTAAAGTCCTATGGTAGGTACTCTCTCCTTCAGTCTCCCAGCGCTTGGTCATCCATAAGAGGGAGTACTATCGCTTTTAGATGTTACTGTATCTATTTTTGTTCTCTATCTATTACTTTAATTTATATATAAACTACTGAATGTTCCCTATGTTAGCACTTAATAACAACATAGTATTTTTTTAAGGTGTTTCTAGCTAGTTTTTTTGTATCGTACTCCAAAATAAAACGTTCTATCGATGATTTTGCTTAGTTAGAAAGTTTCTCTTTTCTATAGCCCCAGCTAAAAAGTACAGGGGTTCAGGATCGTTTAATTATTATTATTTTCTCACACACACACACACATATATAATACGAGGGTGGTCTGAAAAGTTCCCGACCTAACAAAGATACAAGACCTTTTTCAGTTTTTTTTCTTTTTCTTTTCAACATAGTCTCCTTGTAACTCTACACACTTCTCCCATCTCTGTAACCCGTCCAAATGGTACTCGGCGTTTTTCTCTGCAAAATAATTGTTCACGAAGGGCCTCTTCATCTGACGAAAATCTCTATCTTCCAAACGCAATTTTTAGATAAGGGAACAAGAAGAAGTCGCTTCCATGGCAACCGCTGAGGTGTGAGACGGTGCGTTGTCTAGGTGAAACAGGATTTTATTTTGCTGCAAATGAATTCAGCTTGTCAAGTAATGATGCGTAGTATGCTCCTGTAATGGTTTCTCCTTTTTTGAGATAATCGATTAAAATAACTCCATGACTATCCCAAAAACAGTCGCCATCAAGTGATTCCCAGCTGAAAAAACAGTTTTTGCCTGTTTTACTATACATAATACTGTTACATAACAAAATCAACAGGCTTTAAAAGTCCACTACTGGACATAAGCCACTCCTTAGAAAGGAGGTTTTGGCCTACTATACCACGCTAGCTAGACGGGTTGGTATAGGGTTTGAAGTTTTCCTTCTCTCTGCAGTGCTGTTGTCCTGCGTAGTTTTCTCCTTTAATCGCCGCTTACGACACCCACGGGATGAATAGAGGTGCTGATACTCTGTATTCCTAATCCGTCACCACACGGACATACATTTTACATAACAACATGGCTGTAACTTTGGCGAGTAACTAACTAGCTGTCAACAGATGAACATCGAAATTCACTAGCTTTTATTCACGAGTGCTGCCATCTTCGTGTGAGGTCGAAAACTTTTCAGGCCACACTCGTGTACTCATAAAAAGTTTATGTACCCTTCCTCATGTGAGTTGAACTCAAACTTGGCCTGTTTTATGACTATTCGTAGTATACCGTAGTATATTCGTAGTATATGTTTTTGACAAGTTCCTTGATGAGCTACTGCATTTTGTAACTATTAATAACTACTTTATAGTTTAATTATATGTGTGTGATATTATACTTTTCTTATCTTGGAAATTTATTTTAAAAGCACTGTAAAATAAACGGTAGGTAATAATACGTGGGTAGGTACATTAAGAATTAATAATATGGCATAATAAATAATACGTATGACGAATAAAAAATAATTGGCCGCCTAACGAATTGTGTACTTTTTAATTTCTCTAGTTATTTATAAATTTAGTATTTTCACAAAGACGCAACTCAACAGAAACGTCTAAAGATTAGTTAATTACAGACAGATAAATTTATTATTTTCATAAATTTTAAAATCTGCAGAATAGTTTCTGTTGGCTGCGTTATTGCATACCCTAACTATCATCATTTTTCATATTAGTTGTCGATGTGATGCATTTAAAGTGAACCTGTTAATGCAAGTAGGTACCATACTACATACTACCACTACTACCATTATTTTATCTGAAGCAAAATATGAGTCACAACCTCTTAATAAGACTGGAAGCAAATGAAGAATTTTGATCAGTTGTCAGCCAGTTTCTGCACGGAACAGAGGTTTATTACGCTCTTTGGTTTTGATAACCAATAATGGGTGAGTTTTTGTGATTTGAATATAGAATTTAGGTGTTCTTCAAATTTTATGTTACTTGAGTCTTTGCCAGATGCAAAATTAAAAATAAATAAAAAGGAAATCAAATAATCTTATAGTTCTGCTTATACCATTATCTGCTACCACGCCTTCTTCGTTTTATATGCATATTTAAATTACACCTATCAGGGTGTCTTCGATGGCCAAGTAGGCTAGATATGTTCCCATCAATATTAAAACTTTTTTTACCCTAATTAAGTAATAAATAAAGAAAATATGGTATATGTGACCTATAACCATAAAGTTCACTTATGCTTGTTTGTCACCTAAGTGGTAAAAAAGTGCGTTGTTGTCACGAACCTTGTTCTTTTTATGAATAAGAAACTTTGTTTGCATCTCCAAGGCTCAGGTTTTCCCGTTTTGAATTTCCTTAAAGTCAAATGATGATTAATTGTTATTATTTAATATTATGAAATACAGTTATACATAGGTAGGTATAATTTTTAATATAGTCGTTTGTGCTCGGTTGTCGTTAAGACGTAAAGGGAAGGGAGCTATCATGGCAGGGGATTTTGGACTTTATATCGCGACACAGAGCGGCCACAGTAAATCTAGTTGCCAACTGTTTTCTTATATTGATTCACCGTATTTGCTGGCTGCAAAATACTTTTTATATGTTAACGCATACACATATTATGTAAATATCTAAACTATCCTCTTCAAAAAAACATGTAGTCATCGGTCATTTTCTTTAAACTTCTACGTGTGCCTGTTTGTGTAAACTTGCAATAATTTTTTCTAATCCACATTATCTTATAAAAAAGACATAACAGATCTATTACTAAGTAGTTGGTAAGGTTGATTGTGGCTGTATCAACGACATATTTTTTACAAAAAATCCGAGTATCACAATAGTCTGACTCAGCATCCATCAGTGGTAAATTTATTTCCTCCACACTAATAGCTATATAGATACCAATTATATTACTATTATACACACGACGGTACCACGAAATAAGACTATATGAACACCAGGGCGCTATTCTGTTGTACGAAAGTTTTGCATCAAATGTACGTAACTTTGATTCGCTAATGTCCCTTATGCAGCTCATCATATAAGTACACTTGTAGTTTCAGTCAGTTCTCCATTCAGTTTTCATGCAAGAAAAAATAATAATAAATTCTGGATATTCTTTCAAAAATGCCAACGTTTTCAGTAGATTTGCACCCTTTTTCAGTAAGAGGGTTGAGACTTCCCGGGTTGCATTTCTGAACTTACTGTTGTTCGAGTTTAGGAATGCAACCCTGATATGCTGGAGCGATTGCTTACATTCCACAATCCATCCGTATTAGTAATTAACATTTGCCCATGGCTCCGCCAGCATGTATGTCGGTTATCGCGGTAAAAGTATTCTATAGCACTCATGGAGAATATACCTATCTAACAGTATTTTCAAAATCGAATCAGTAGTACCGGAGATCACCCCGAACATACAAACTCACAAACTTATAATGTGCTGCCGATTCGGGGATTTACCTATGTAGGAGTGTATTTGCATATGATATTCGGTTTCCCCAGGTTTGTATATAATGATGATATGATGGTTTGTATATGATATGATATATCTCAGAATGTGCCCCGCGAAATCACTGATGATGGATTAGTGTGACACAGGAAAACGCAAGATTAATATGAAATCGCACTGGTGTATACATACCTTACGACTGTTAAAATGTTCTGAAAAAAAATGTTGTAGATTCATCATCATCATCATTAACAGCTTTTACAGTCCACTGCTGGACATAGACCTCTCCTTAGAAAGGAAGTTTTGGCCTACTATACCACGCTGGCCAGACGGGTTGGTATAGGGTTCGTCTCAAGGTTTCCTTCTCTTTGAAGTGCTGTTATCCATCCTGCAGAGTTTGCTCCCTTAGTCGGCTCTTACGGCACCGACAGTACGAATATGGGCGGTGACACTCAGTATTCTTAATCCATTACCACATGGACAATTGTTGTAGAATACCTACTGCTTTATAAATTATGGTTTTTAATGTGTTGTTCACTTCTTGGATGCGAGAAGCCCAAAATCGATCTAAGTGGCGTGCAATGGGAGAGGCCTATGTCCAGCAGTGGACTGCGATAGGCTGATGATGATGATGATGACACTCCTCAATCAATTTTGCTGAAATACTACCATACTAATAAAATTTACTAGATACAAAGGTCCTTTACCAATAGGTACAATAATGACATGATTCAGACGTAATATTATATTAGATTTTTTTTTAAATTCCAGGTTTCCTAAACCGTCTTCTGTACATTACGGTAGCAGTGCTAATCTTGGGCTTAGCATCTGGTAAGATTGATATATTGAATAATTATCTATTTATATGCTTTTTTAACTTCCTTCACGATCATCTTGAAAGATATCCACACTTAAAATTAATATAACGTGTTCAATACCCACAGAATTATTTATTATAAAGGCAAACCTTTATCATTTTGTGAACCTTCTGTGCCTATTTCTCCCTATAGCAAAACACGTAAGATTGGGACGGTATTGTTCCCCAGAAAAACCTGTATTCATTTGCAGATGTAAAGAAATTATGTAGAAGTATTATATGTACACATATTTAAACAACTGCATAACAGTACTTGATTCATTATTTGGTTTATCTTTCCTCTTCCTTCTCGTGTCGTTCCTATCACTGCTAAGGGTCGTGATCTCTTCGAATCATCCATGTGATGATCGCTGATTTACCTGTAATATCTTTCAAAAAGAACCTTCGAGAGTACTTAGGACATCTGTTTCAAACACGTACATTATACAAATGGGTATAACTTTGTACTACATTTTAATTTGCAGTGCCATATTTAATTAATTTGCCATTAACTTTTCTTTCAGGTGCTGCATTCAACTCTGGGATTTGTCCGCCTAAGAACAAAGTATACAACGACAAACCAACTTGCTTTTCTGATGCGGACTGTCAGAAATACGGCAAGATTTGCTGCCCCAACCAATACAACACAAAATCCTGTACCGATAGATCACCTTACTTCCAAAAATCCTTCAAGAAGACTGGTTAATCATATAACAGTATACCTATACAATTCTACTAACTGGCCTGCTGGTTTAGTGGTTAGTGACCCTGACTGCTACGCCAGAGGTCGTGGGTTCGATTCCCACCTAGGACTAATAATTGTGTGATGAGCACTGTCATTTGTTCTTTGCCTGGGTGTACTTTATCTATAATATGTATGTATTTAGAAAGGTATAAGTATGTTTATAAGCAGTCTGTTTAAAATAGTACAGGCTCAAATGAGATATTTCCAAAAAAAGCGCAAAATATCGATTTTTGTGACCTTTGACTTTGAAATTTAATAGTTGCTTACACCCTACCATATGTAGGTTTTGAGACAACTTTTAGGGTGTCAATATACAAGTATTTACAGACTTACAGCTGGGTATCTCGAATTCCGAGATTCTTACCTAATTTAAGCTTAAATGACTAGACTATAAAATAGTTATAGACGATGTTAAATATTCTTATCACAATGGCAAAAATGGAAATTAAAAAAAAAACACACTGTTTTAAAAAAAACAGGGCAATTATAAACTCTCTAGTCTTCAATTTATTTTTGTCATAATCTGATGATTATAACTATTAAAGGGTATTGATGATTGAATACCCTTTAATAGTCCACTGTTGGATATAGGCCTCTCCTTAGAAATCATGTTACCTTTTATCATGAACGAGTTTTTTTTTCCCGTGACGATGATTGTGACTTTGTTTGCAGTGAGAAAATAGTATTTTCTTTGTATGTTATGTTTATATGTCAAGTTTCTTGTTGTATTATATACTATATATTCTCATATCTTGAGTTGACTTTTTGTGGACTTTTCATGAGTTAACCTCTTTCAAAGTTACTGTAATGTTTCACTTTCAAATAGTTATCTTATCTATGTAAACTTTTAGTTACCTATGTAAACTGTTATTTGATGCCTAATGTAGCGTAATCTTGTTAAATAAATAATTATTTTATCTTCTTTTTCTTTATTTGTTCACAGTTAACTGAGGTAAATTGGATATATTATTTACAAAGCCAAATACTTATATAAGGGGTGTGTCCACATGGATATGACTCAGAGAAATCAGTCAGCAATGTGTGAAATCGCTGTTTTCTTTTGGTGGTGTATGGCATCTAGCGCCATCTAGTAGGTATAACAAATACCATTAGCACCACTTTCAGTAGTGGGAGACGTCACCTCGAATGGGCCTCAATTCTGCTATTTTATGTTCACGCCAAGCCATTGTCATACCACTGACACGCTATTGAGATGCCATCGAGTGGCCATTGGCATCGGTATAAATATCGGTAGTTGAAAATATATTACGTTTTTTGAGGAAATGATTCATTTATTTTTATTATAACAAATTATTAAAAGAAATAAATAAATAAAAATAAATTATTAAAAAAACAAAGTATAAAAATTATAAAAAAACAAAAAAAAATCGCTCACTGGGAACAGCGGACTTCAACTCTCAACTCACCGGGGCTAGCGGCACTCAGTTCCCACTCACTGGTACTAGCGGCACCCAGTTCCGACACACTGGAACTACTCACTGCTGGCACTGGCATGCTCCACACCAGGGCATAGACAGCTGACTCATCAAGATATCGACCTCCGGGCTTGGAGGAGAGTGATGTGGGCGTGGCGACTTCCACATACAAAGAAATAGAAATATACTACTACTACATACTAGTATTGTATCGCTATATGAAGAATTCTCTCGCCGATTAGCAAATATACAACTTCCCAGGCTCCCGGCCCGCCAGGCTTGATCACCGGGTCAGAGGATCTTGGTGTTAGAGGGACATGAGACCCGTTCCTCCGCATATTGATGATGATGATGTAATAATTGTTTGACTGTGACTGTAAATAGTCTTCAAATTTATATCGAATGCATGTAAATACAGTTTACACTGTATTTGAATTTGAATGCATGTAAATACAGTTTACACTGTATTTACATGCATTTCCTTCCGGACATAGCTAAACCGACAATACACATAGCTAAACCGACAATATCAATAGCCATTGTATTAGAACCTACAAAAGTTTATAATAAATTATATTGTTTGTAAGGAACAATGCGGTTTTCCCAAAGATTGTTCTACATTAGATTCGGGCGTCACTCTTTTAAAATACAGAATATGTATTTTGTTTTTATTATACACTTCAAACAAGATGTTAGTACACGAAGTATCTGTGATTTTAACGAACAATTCCTAGAGAACTTGAAACTAATTACACTAAATGGTTTTGAAACAATAATAACTTGCAAATGTATGAATGGAAAAACGAGTTATGTGCCTACACGTGTAAACATATTAATAATACTAGCGATCCGCCCAGGCTTCGCAGAGGCTACTCTACCAATGTGGTGTCAGTGTGGAGTAATCAATTATACTATTGTTTTGATAAGACATTTTTCTATGCAATATTTATAGCCCTGCCAAGTTTCGCTACGGCACATTATGGTTGCATTGAGAAGAAGTGAGGAACAATACGGTTTCAAAAATGTACTTAATCGGTGCAGAACTTTTGAGTTTTTATAATAATAATAACTCTTTATTGCAGACCATGGTGTCCATTTTGTTAGTAACAATATTCTTAGAGTTAGTACAGTACATAAAGAAAACAAAACCATAAAACAAAACAAAAAAAAAGACATACATACACAACAATCATTGCTTCGCCATCCGTTCGCAATTGCGCAGCAACGATTGATGTACCTAATTATAGTCCAGGCGACTAGGGATCATGTTCAGGATACTGTTGACGATGCGCTCACCCTGCGCAATAGAGATGAGCATCTTTTAAGCATCGTAGCATAATAGCAATCTACGCGATGTTCAGCAAACATCCCCGATGCACTACAAAAACGCTGCAGCCCAAGCAGCACCCTGAAGGCTTTATTATATTGGACTCGGAGGGCACTATACGACGCTTGAGTATAGTCGGCCCACAGGCTGCACGTGTAAAATGAAGTGCAATACGATGTGAAAAGTGTAAGTTTGACTGCTGTCGAGCAACATGCAAACCTGCGAGCTATCATGTTCGCCCTCACTGACAGCGCCCTCCGTTCCCTCTCTATGTCATCATTGTCCTTGAGGTCAGAGGTCAGCACATGTCCTTAGTACTCGTACTTAAATTTATGTACCCTACGCAATACCATTGAGCGTTAGATTAGGAAAAGGAAACTCCTTACCAGTACTGCTTCCTCTGGCCTCAAAGACCATGACTTCACTTTGCGGCGTATGCTTCACAAATTGTGAGCAGTTTCTTTAACCCACATACAGATGAACTCAACAGCACCATTTTTGTAGCGTACACAAACCAACTTAACATTTATATAGGTACTTATAGATTATGTTAATACGTAGGTACTTACAAGTTCTCCAACCGCAACATAATTGTTTTCTTGTATTTTAGAAATCAAAGCCGGACTAAATTAATATATTTTACCAATATTTCCTTATATACGCAACAGATTACACTGCGTCGTCAATTCTGAAAACACTACAATAGGAGTAAAACATGTTTTAGTTTTCAGTCTGTTACCAAACGTTTAACAGTTTAGAATATAAGCATGGGTAAGATATTTTTATAATTTAAATGAAATATAAAAAAATGAAAAATAGTGTTTTGTTTTGCAAAATATAAATTAATCACAAAAGCAAAAGACGTATAAAGATGTTGGTTTTTTGTAGGTAATTACCGTTTATTGTTCAGATTACACAATTTCTTTTATTTTACTTATGATCTGCAAATATTTGTTTCGGAGTTTGGGTGTTTTCTATATACATATAATATGTATGTAATTAGAAAAAAATATAAAAGTATCCTATCAGGCAATATAGCTTTCACAGTACAATCTCTGCTTTGTTTGAAACGAGATGGCGTTATATAATCATATGTCCGAATATGATTATATTACATATTCTTATAGTAGGCCAGAATTTCCTTTACCGTGGGAGAGCCATGCTTCGGCACGAATGGGCCGGCTCGACCGGAGTGATACCAGGGCTTCACAGAAAACCGGTGTTAAGCAATGCTTTAGTTACCTTTCACTGAGTGAGTGAGATTCTAAATTAAGTAAATCACTGTTCTAAATTAAGCTAGGGACCAAGCTGTTGCGGCGGCATTCCTAAGCAGACTTTAGTATGCCTTAGAACTCCTGGATATTTCTAAGCACACCTCGCCACGCCTGTGAACTTCTATTCAATAATTGCCATCAGTGTGCGTCTGCACGTAGGTATGAAGGATCACTTGCCATGCCGTGCCGATAGGGGGCGAAGTGCCTCATGATGAGCTTTTTTAACAACTCATTAAAATGTTACTAAAATAAAGTAACAATAAAATACGAACTGACGTACTTTTAAAAATATCTGCGCTATGGTTAATACATAATACCTAAACAAACTGTTCTATTTATTATTGTCCCTGTTAATGTCATTATTTTCTTAGTAATAAATGTTAACAAACAAGTATTTCCAATTTACAATACATTTTTTTTCTAAATGTTTATCTATTAAATTAACAACGATGTAAATTATTATTGTTTTCATCTATGACATCTGATTTGTAGTTTTTTCTGGTTTCAGGACTAAAATGGTTGGTGATAGTTGCTCTGCTGGTGTGCGAGACAATTAGTTCAAACTACCTCGAAACAGGTACAAATACTTATTTTGATTTAACCACCTTGTATTTTCATACAGAATATTAAAAAAAAAGTGTCAAGCCGAAGTCCAAAGACAGGTCATCCCCAGAGGGACCCGTGTCACCTCCATGTATGTTATGAATATTTTATTATTAAGAGAGTTCGAGTTTGGAGAGTTTTTTGCTCACTGTGACAACAAACAAAGAAAGTCACTTTCACATCTATAATATAAGTATGGATATGTTATTAGCAACAGTCTCCTTGGGATTATAAAAGGTAATTGAGGGTACGGAAAACCGTTAAGTGGAGGAAGCTAAGCAGAGGATGCCAGGGTAGTGGATACCGCAAGACGCGAACGGGGGAACGGGACAGAGACTGCTGTAGCTCGAAGAAACCGGGGACATTATTTATTTAAGTGTCCTCACATGGGACACCATTTTGTCTGATCCACAAATTTGATTGGTGAATCCACTAGGACAATGACACCAACTGTGATTAGTTGTGGCCACGTATTACAGAGTTTTTCCCATATGTATGTCTCTTAAAGAAGATTAACACATAAAAATGAAAATCCCTACAGGGGGCAGGCAGAGACATTTTAAAACCCCCACATGCGGGCCATAGTTTTAATCCCACTCACGTAATAGCGGGCAAGCCACTTACGTAAGTGTAGTGAACTTAGCACATTCTAAACAAACTTTTATATTTCAATACTAGCTTTTCCCACGGCCCCGCCCGCGTGTATGTCGGTTATCGCGTTAAAAAGTAGCCTATGTAACTCGTTGATAATGTAGCTTAAGATTGGTGACAGAATTTTTATAATCGGTTTAGTAGTTCAGGCTTGAAAGCGTAAGAAATAAACAATTTCACTTTGACATTTAAAATATAAGTATGGATTATAAATTACACCCAGACACAACAAACGATCATGCTCATCTCACAATATTTGTGCTGTGTGGGAATAGAACCCACGACCTCTGGCTTAGCAGTGAGGATAGCTCACCACTAGACCAACAGGTCCGTCGAATAAGTTAAAAATCTCCTAAATTAAACCTTATCATCCAGGCATTTATATACTTTTCGCCAGACAGCTTATTTACTGATAAAAGAGGAGAAAGCAACCTGTGTATAATTTTCATCTTATTTGTCCACAGATGATGATGATGGGACCCCTGATATGACGGAAGGATCAGGGGACTCCGACGTTCCAGACGATCCCCCCTTCCCGTTCCCAGAACACCCGAAAGGGAGGATTTTAGACCCACGCATAACTATATGTTATAGGAGTAGACATGGTTTCGATCCCAACATTACCGCTGAACAGCTGAACGCAGAACCAGCGGTACCTGGCAATGAGACGTCGATTTCCGGAGCGGTCGGACTTATTTTTTCTCCCTCAATTTTATTACCGTATTTCTTTATTTTTGTAGTTAGCCATTTGTAATAAATCTGTATCAAAATAGAAAACGAATATTTGAGATTTATGTAATCGAATTATTGTATCATCCAAACAACATAAAGGACGCTACAGAGCAAGAAATCTTGCTTTTTAAAATTAAAGAATTATAATAGTAGGGTAGGTTCCTAAGGTCGAAATAAAGTATTTCACCTGGAGCGTTAAATGTAACATTTTAAAGTACAATACATGATTAATTTAAGGCTTTTCGTGTTTTTACATGTATGTATGTATGTTAGACGTAAGCTGGGAACATCTTCAAATCAATATGTTAGAACATCAAATCAATAGATTGTAATCATGATGATGTTCCCGGATTACAATCTACTCGTATTTACTTAATATTTTAAGTACAAATGATTTGACGTAAGCTGGGACAAAATCTATAGTTTTGACGTTTAATAAAAATTAAAACGATACTGATTTGACTTGCCAGTCAACTCTGTCTCTTTCTGTGCGGAAATCCCCTCGGATACCACCTGTGGCTATGTCCATCGGTGGCTATGTCGGACTCCAACTGACTAAAAACCGCACGCCGTCCGTACCAGTAGCCGGGGAACCAGGTGTACCCTAGAAAGGAAATCCCTGGTACAAAGATGTACCTCGGTCCATCTACGGCGGGTAGATGACCCCCTCCTGTGTGGGAACCCCCTTGTTCAATTGGTGCTCCCAAAAGGGCACGCGCGCTCCGCAGCGCGTCTCGCCGCCACCCGGCCTGCTTCTGCTAGGGTAAGAGATTGCCTCACCTGTCACCCCCAGGTCTGCGCTTATGGAGGACGGAGGTGGTGTTTTGACTTGCTAGTCAACTACCCCATTAGAGATCACCTGATGGTCGAAATTAGACGTTTCGAATGTCCTGTTTCCTTTCAGGAAATATTATAACTTGAACTCTCATTGAATAGACTTTTTAATCACGACAGGTCAAAATATATTGGTACTATAGTTTTATATAACCTTTTTACATATTTTTTTAACTTAACACTTTGTAGTACATATTGTCAAAAAAAGTTAAAAAGAATTGGAAAGACTTTAGTTTAAAATTCTGCACTTCGTCTAAAGATATAAATAAAAAGTAGTATTCTAAATAAAGGATGTCTCAGTAAGAGTGCACTTTTTCATTTTAAAATATTAACACGTATTTTATGAAAGAATTGTGATATTTTTATTGAATTGTAAAGAAGACATGTTCCGATTAAGTATGGAATGAATTGTCAAGCAAATGGTCCCCACGGCTCTAAAGGCAGGCCATTACTCTTTACTTGAAATTTTCCATGACTTTTACACAGAGATGTGGCTGTATCTCACGGATGACGCGTTGGATCTCTGATTTGAGCTCAGAAGTTGTTTCTGGTTTAAGTTCAGTTAACCTCAGATACGAATGTATTCTGGAAATCGTTGCTGCAGTAAGTCGATTGTTTCATGCGTGGTGTGGCAAGTGGCTGTACTGCTGAAACCACATGTTGTCCAGATCCATGCCGTCCAGTCACAAGAACTCCGTTATCATATTCCTGTAACGAATCTTCAAAAAAGTAAGGCCCAATCATGCCGTCTGACCAAAATCCGCACCAGACAGTGGCTCGTTGTGGGTGCATTTGTTTCTCATGGATTGCATGAGGATTTTCTGAGCCCCAAATTCTGTATTCCCGAAGAAGATTGAATTGTATTTTTATTTATTAATATGTTTCATCGTATACAATTATTTCAGTCAGATTTTTTTATCATTTGAGTATTACTAGATATTTAAGTTACCTACACGAATAATATATGTAGATCACCTTTTTATTTCGTATTTATGAAAGACACATCTACTTCCAGATACCATACGTACGAAGTTGAGGCACAACTTAGTGTTGATTAAAGTTTATAATTTAGAAGAATATTTTAATAATACGAAGCGAACGTATGCTTATATGTTAAATGAAAAAATTAATAAAGTGATGTTAAACGATGCATTGAAATGTGTAGTAGTAATTTCAAGGTCTGCTACACTTCATGCGTTTGGTGGACGGATCCTGCTTGCAGACCTCGTAGGCGTTGCACTTGACGTTGTCGCATTATGCTCCAGTGCTATACTTTGACTGCACGGATGGCGTAGTGGTTTATGCGGTCGCCACGTCGTTTTCTACTGCGCCGAGTGTTGTGGGTTCAAACCCCACAAGGGTCGACACTTTATGTGATCCAGAAATTTTTGTTCTGAGTCTGGGTGTTCTTTGTGTCCGTTTCATGTATGTTTGTAAAGTCCCCCACGACACAGGATATATTCCTAATGTGGGAGTTGTCTTTTTTAAGAAAAAAATAAGAAAAAAGTGCCAGCTCGGACGGTAAAACATGTACTCTTTAATATTATATTTACAAATTCTCATCCTCCCTCAATTAACAACTAATACAGTTCCTACACACTTTATTTGTCTGAATAGGACTTAACAATTACTACCATGTTTCCATGTGGTGACGGATTAAGAATACAGAATGTCGCCACCCCTATTCATCTCGTAGGTGTCGTAAGAGCCGACTAAGGGAACTACGCAGGACATCAGAACTGCAAAGAGAAGAAAACCTTGAAACAAACCCTATACCAACCCGTCTGGCCAGCGTGGAATAATAGGCCTCGTTTAAGGAAAGGATTGTGTTTTAAGGAAAGGCGGTTGACTACTAAAAGCTGTTAATAATTCGATGAATAATACGATATCAATGTAAACACCCTTCCAACTCAAGCATTTAGCTGAACTATGTATGTTAGCTTGCTAATCCTATTCGGTAATAGCAGTCCTGTAAAGTAAAAAATTAATAGTATTTTCATAAAATCAAGAATTAAGATTAGAAATAATCATTTTAAAGACAAAAAAAAATTCGTTTAGTTGACGGATTGAAGGTTTTACGAGAGGGTAACTGCTTTATTATTAGAATTTATTCGGAGCTACTACTGATATGGTTTTTAGAAAACTGAATGCAATTGAAGTTAATGAAATTTCTGAAGTTATTTATTTACTTTTTTAATTAAAAATAAAACAACTACTGCATTAGGAATATATCCTGTGTCGCGGGGGACTTTACAAATATTACGGAGATGGGTTTACCGGAACCGGAATCGGAGTCACAGATTTTAAAATTGATTTATCGGAGTCGGAGCCGGTGTCGGAGTAGAAGAGAAATGTGTAGACTGTTAAGGGTAGAGGTAATGAAATGATATAAACATAATACAGTAATCAGTCTCTTTATTTAGTCAAATGAGTTAAATTTAAACCAAAATACACGTACGTAGGTAAATAAACAATAGAAAAATAAGCTTAGTTTACAACTATAAATCAATTTGAGTGACTCTAAAAGTACCCAATTGTACTTAATAAAGAAAAGCATAGCAGCTTTATTTCCATCCAGTCTATTCCTCATCGGATTAAATATTAGGCCAGCGCCACTAAAAAGTTGCTCACTTGCCACTGAGCCTGGTGGACATGGTAAATATTGGCGGACAATCGAGTACAATGTTTGAAATTTTGTATTTACTCTCTACCATAGTAAAGGATCGTCACTGATTGGAATACGTTTTTCTTCGTTGCACTCATTAAGTAAGCTCTTCCATGTAATGAATTAATCAAAAGGATGGCTATCGGTTGTGGTGTCAGCATCCTTATCATCGCTACTCATCAGTATATTTGATAAAATAGATTGTACATTATTGTTAGACTTGACATTATTGCTAAGTTTCTCAGCTGATGCCGATACGAACCTTGCCCGTTTTTTAGCAGGAGTGTCAGTATCACTATGTATATCAACAGGCAATGGAAGTACTGTTTATTTTATTATATTTTAACGCCAGTAATTCGATTTTATACCTACTCATTACTTATGGAAAGGATGCATTTCCAAATTGTCAACAGCAAATACTTAAAAAAATAACCAACCAAGAAGTAGTTAACTGTTCCGCTAGAGTGTACTGTACAAGCATTGGATTTTATTATTTCTATATGTATTTTATGATTTATTCACATGATTGATGACTCTTGATTTTGTTGACTCTTGAACTCGATAGCATTGATATGAAACAATAATTTAGTAGTAGTAGTACATGGTATGCTTTCAATCCTGGGTTTCGTTGAATCAAACGCTATCTATGAAGTATACCTTAAACTGATAAGGAACATGTTTCTCACTATAATACATTAAATATAATCATGTGTGTTTTATACACACATAATTAATTATATTTTTGTTTACACATAATTGTTTGGTTGTAAACTTTCTTTGAAAAAGTCCAAGTTTAAGGATCCAGTCTAAATACAAGAAATAACGTAAAATATTAAAGCTTGTTATAAAAGTTTGTGCTTTTTTTACAGGAAATTTTAAAAACTAGAGGCGCTGATTCCTGGTGATAAAATAAGATATTTGTTTGGTAATTAATATAAGTATCCAAAACATCTGAAAAACGTTTCTTTTCATGCATTATTTTAGGTCAAAATATGTTCTTGCAAGGGTCGCTGTAAGCATCAGCAGCAAGATCCAATAAGGAATCTGAATAAAGCAGTGTATTTATAAAATAAAATAAAGCTTTATCTTAATAAGTATACAGTGAAACTCATCGTGATATTGTCTCTGCCGTACCTACCTACATATTAGTTCATTATAAATTATATTGTTCGTAAGGAACAATACGGTTTTCCCAAATATTGGTCTATAATGGATACGGGCATCGCTCTTTTAAAATAAGTAACATGTATTTTGTTTCTGTTGCAGGGGAATTAAAATTGTACGTACACACTTCAAACAAAATACCTGGTTAGTAAAAGGTAGGTTCTGTGATTTTAAAGAAAAATTACCAGAGAAATTTAATCTTATAACACCAAATAGTTTAGAAACAATAACAGGGCCACCCGTCAGTCCAGTGCCTCGAAGAGTCCACCACTAGATTTACTCCTCTTTCCTCTTCCTGATGGCTCTCTTGAAAGTTCGTCCCTTAAGCTGTAAATAATTTGTCATCGGCGAAAAGATCGAACCCAGCCCAGGGAGGAAGTCGTCTCGAAGAGTCTAGTCGTAACCCATGTCACACAGGCGTGGTCTAAGAACAGACCTCAGTGGAATGGTAAAAGAATTACGGAACACCTGAACACCTGACACTATTTTATTTTTTAATTCTTGTTAGAATTACGGAAACCGAATGAAGATGTGTGTGTGTATCTGAAATGTAATTTATCTTAATACCAATTCATTAGATATTCACATATTATTATTTTTAATCAACTATGTGTACCCTGCCACGCTTTGCTGTGGCATATTGTGGTTGCATTGATATGAAATGAGGAACAAAACTGACGCGAAAAAATGATAAAAACAGTCTTGGAAGCGGGTTGTGTATCGTATCAAAATTTAAGATCAGTGTACACAAATCAACTTAACATTTTTTATGTAGATTACTTTATGTTAATACGTACTTAAAGGTAACATAATTATTTTGCTGTATATTAGAAATCTAAGCCCAAGTAAATTAATATAATTATAATATTGCACCAATATTTCCTTATATACGCAACAGATTACACTGCGTCATCAATTCTTTAAACACTACAATAGGAGTAAAACATGTTTTAGTTTTCAGTCTGTTACCAAACGTTTAACAGTTTAGAATATAAGCATGGGTGAGATATTTTTAGTATTTAAATCAAATGTCTGAAAATGTAAAATGGTGTATTGCTTTGCAAAACGGACATTAATAATCAGATAACGATGAGTATAATTGAGAAATGAAAAAAGATATGAAGACACGCAGACTGCGGCGTTGACGAATTGGAAACCATTTCACTTGGGAACGTAAAATAGACACATAAAGACACATGGTCATACTTGCGAAGATTAAAAACAAATCGAATGCAGTTAATGAGAAGTCGCTCTAGCTAATTGAGAAGGTCTGCATTCAGGTCAAGATAACACACATCACCATAATCGATTAAGGGAGTAATAAGGGGGGGTAATTAGTGAGCAAAAGATTCTTGAGACGATTTCCTGGCTGACGTGGGTAACTTGTGCTCTCCAGTCAAGTTTCGAGTCGATATGTAACCACTGGACTAAGCGGCATAATTATTTCGTAAAATCAATTTCATCGTTTTTTTTTTAACCAACTTAACAGAACCAATTTTTAACCAACTTAGGCAGAGGAGCAGACGGGTCACCCGATGGAAAGTGACCATCGCCATTTTATATGATTTGTGGTTATTTTTTCTTGTTTCAGAACTCAAATTGTTGGTGATAGTTGCTATGCTGGTGAGCGAGACAATTAGTTCAGACTACCTCGAAAAAGGTACAAATACTTACATATTTTGATTTAACCACTTTGCAGTTTCATACAGAATATCCAAAAAAGGGTGTCCAGCCGAAGTCCAAAGACAGGTCATCCCCAAAGAGACCGTGTCACCTCCATGTATGTAACGAATTTTATTTTTAAGAGAATTCTAGTTTGGACAGTTTTTTGCTCACTGTGACAACAAACAAACAAAGTAACTTTCACATTTATAATATAAGTATGGATATGTTATTAGCAGCAATCAACGACATTAATTTTCCTGTATTTTTACGGAGGAAGCCAGGGCCACAGAGACTGCTGTAGCTCGAAGGAACCGGGGACATTACTAATTTATGTGTGGGTTGGAACCCCACATGGGACACCACTTTGTGTAATCCACAAATTCTTGTTCTGAGTTTGGGTCTTCTTTGAGTCCATTTCATGTTTTTGTTGGTGAAGCCTCCCCCCCACCCCAATATATATATATATATCCCTAGTCTTTAAAAAAATATAGTAAAGGAGCAGACGGATCACCTGATGGTAAGGGACTACCGCTGCCCATCGACACCTGTAACTTAAGTAACTTTTGAGTTCACTTCTGGCACTTCTTATCTCCAAAATGCTTTGTCGCACTTTGTATCCAACCTCCAGAATCAGGGTAAAAAAGGTCGGTGAATAGCACCGAAAGAATTGCTTAACAACGGTTTTCTGTGAGGCCGTGGTATTATACTCACCACTAGACCAAAAAGTAAAAAATCCGTCCGTCTAAAAAGTTAAAAATCCCCTATAATAAAGACTTACACTTCATCATGTAGGCAGTAAAATACTTTTCGCCAGACAGCTTATTTACTTTTAAAAGAGGAAAAAGCAACCTGTGTATAATTTCTATTTTATTTGCCCACAGATGATGATGAGACGCCTGATGTAACGGAAGGATCAGGGGACTCCATCTACCCAGACTATCCCGACTACACGTTCCCAGCCAGTAATTTTACCCCAGGCATAGTTATATGTTATGGGAGCAGCTATGATTTCGATCCCAACATTACCGCTGAACAGCTGAACGAGACGTCCATTCCCGGAGGAGCGGCCGGGCTTATTTTTTCTCCCTCAGTTTTAGTACCGTATTTCCTTACTTTTGTAGTTAGCAATTTTTAATAAATCTGTATCTAAATTGAAAACGAATATTTGACGACATAGAGGACTCTACCAAGCAATAAAACTTGCTTTCTAAAATGAAAGGATTATAATAGGGTAGGTTCCTAAGGTTGAAAAAAGTATTTCACCTGAATCGTTAAATGTAAAAATTTTAAGGTACAGCCCGAATTGTCCTCCATTATTAATTGAAATGTTTTCTTGTTTTTATGATGATTTGACGTTTAGACGTTTAATAAAAATTAAAAAGATTTGACTCGCCAGTCAACTACCGTATTAGAGATCGCCTGGCGGTCGAAATTTGAACGTTTAGAATGTGTTGTTTCTTTATAGCTTGAACTCTCATTGAATAGACTTTTGAATCACGACAGGTCAAAATATATACTGGTAATATAGTTTTATATAACCCACTCACATATTTTTAACTTTATAGTAGAAATTTTGTCAAAAAAAAATGATTTGGAACGACTTTAGTTTAAAAATTCTGCACTTCGTATAAACATATAAACAGTAAATAGTATGCTAAATATCATATGCTCCTGTGCGCCACAGTTTAAAAAGGGTACTAAGAATGATCCTCATCCATTAGGTAATATAATTAAAAAGTTCTGTCATCACTCTTTGTTATTTTGTGTAAAAGTAACCATTGCTGTAATTCCAAAGTTAACTTTAAACATAACTTCGAAAAATTTATACATTTATAAAATACATACGTTTCATCGCATACAAATATTTCAGTCAGAAAAATTATATGATATGAGTATTACTAGAAATTTAAGTTACCTAGACAAATATTATATGTAGACCACTTTTTTATTGTGTATATATAAAACATAGACACATCCACTTCCAAATAACATAAGTACGAAGTCGTGGCACAGCTTAGTATTGAATAAAATTCATAATTTTTATATTTGTATATTAAATGTAAAAATATGAAAGTGATATTAAACGATGCATTGAAATGTGCAGTAGTCATTTCAAGGTCTGCTACACTTCATGCGTTTGGTGGACGGATCCTGCTTGCAGACCTCGTAGGCGTTGCACTTGACGTTGTCGCAGTATACTCCAGTGCCAGCTGGGAAACTCAAACATGTAACAAAAAATAAAAAAAATACAACTTCTATAGGGCTGACTATGACGCGATCGTGGAATCACTTAACACGGTTAATTGGAGCAATGCTTTGGGTTCATACGCTGATGTTGATACTATGGTTGACGGATTTTATGCCATTATTAGGGATGCTATTGAGAGATATGTTCCTAAAAATAATTACTCTCGGGGCAAATACCCCATTTGGTATTCTCATGAACTAAAGAAACTTTTAAAACAAAAACTGAAATTAAATAGAAAGATTAAAAAATATAAAAATCCTTTAGATATCATAGAATTTAATTACTTAAGGAAAGACTGTGACCAACTGATGAAACAATGTCATAAATCATACATAACAAAAATGGAACATGCAATCAAAAAGCATCCTAAGTATTTTTGGACTTACATGAAAAATCTGCGAAAAAGCGTAGAGTCCAAATACCCATCCACTATGAACTACGGTGATGTCTTTGCTAATAATCCCAAAGAAGTTTCTAATTTGTTTGCGGAGCACTTTGGTTCTGTTTTTGACCCTATAGAAGACTTTAGACGTGATGAATTACCATGTCGTAAAACCTTATTTAATTTTAATATACCGGTATTAAGTGAGTTCTCAATATCATTTGATGATGTATATAAGAGGCTATCTCAGCTTGATCTATCAAAGGGTGCTGGTCCCGATAATATTCCGCCGCTTTTCTTTTCCCGTTGCGCACGCTGTTTATCAGCGCCACTGGCAATTATCTACAATACTTCGTTAAAGCTGGGCACATTTCCTTATATCTGGAAGAAGGCTAGAATTGTACCCATACACAAAAGCGGCGCACGTAACCAAATTGTTAATTATCGTCCTATTTCAATTCTCTCAGCCTTGTCGAAGGTTTTTGAATCGATTGTATATCCAGTATTTTACAACCACATTAAACGCTTTCTGTCTCCCAGTCAGCACGGTTTTACGGTGAAAAAATCGACAAACACTAATCTTGTTGATTATGTCACTGATCTAGTAGCCGCAGTAGATCAGGGTCTGCAGATAGATGCAATATATACTGATTTTTCAAAGGCCTTCGACAAGGTTAATCATAAAATACTGGTGGGTAAGTTGGAATTGATGGGTATTGCAGGCGATAGTCTGGATTGGTGTCTATCGTATTTGGATTCTAGATCATCATCAGTAGCTGTGGACGGGGAAGAGTCTGAGCCATTTGTTGCAACGTCTGGCGTACCCCAAGGCTCCAATTTAGGGCCATTGTTCTTTAATGTTTTTATAAATGACATACCATCTGTATTTAAAAATTCAGTATCATACCTTTTCGCAGACGATTTGAAAACAATTCGAATAATCAAAAACGAAAGCGATGTAACTCTATTGCAGGAAGACATAGACCGATTGAATCACTGGTGTGATCAAAATAAAATGTACTTAAATGGATCAAAATGCAGTCATATAAAATTTAGTAGAAAACGTAATAACATAAAATCATCTTACAAAATAGATAATAAGGTTCTGATCGAGGTCAATACTATCAGGGATCTGGGCGTATATTTGGACAGTCAATTGCGGTTCGCACAACATATTGATAAAACTTTAACCAGTGCTTATAAGGCTCTTGGATTTGTTCTGAGAAATTCTAAAGAATTTGGGCACCCATCCACAACAATACTTTTGTATAATAGTTTCGTGCGAAGCAGGCTTGAATATTGTAGTGTTGTATGGAACCCGACATACCAGGTGCACACTACAAGAATTGAAAAGATACAAGAAAGACTTGTATATCACTTGGCCTTCAGAAATAAAGTTTTGAACTCAATAAGGTCATATTCTGGCAGACTTAGCTACTTCAGGCTCGCATCCCTTGAAGCCCGCCGCAAGGTTTCTGACATAATGTTCATATACAAGTTATTCAATAATGGGATTGACTGTCCAAGTCTCCTGAGCAAATTCTATATTAATGTACCTAGCAGGTTACCTCGCTATCCGGGTTCACTGCTCAAAGCTCCCCGCTGTCGCACAAATCTTGGTAAACACTCTCCAATAATTAGAATGACTAACCACTTTAACGAAGTTTCAAATAGATCTAATGATATAGACATCTTCAGTAATACTATAGGACATTTTAAATTCCTTATCAATAAACAGCTGACATCAATTTAATATAAATTTATTTGATTTAAATTATATATTATCAATGTAACTGTATATAATCTTATATTGTTGACTATTTAATTATTAACCATATTATCAGTAGTTAACTTTTGCAATGTTATTATTGTTTGTATTGACTTAATTAATTTAACAGTAATTTAATTTAATCAATTTTCATTAATTTATTTACTTCTAATTTGTGTAATAGTAATTTCTGATTCAAAATGTTATGTTTGACTCTTAATGCAGGCTGTGATCTTCTGTAATTAAGAATACACCAGATCAATAATTTATTATTCTCTGTGAATGCTATGTGATATTCTTGTTGAAGATCCTTAAATAAATAAATAAATAAATAAATGTACTCTTTAATGTTATATTTACACATTCTGAACCTCTCTCAATTGACAATTAATACATTTCCTAGATATATATGCTGAAATAAAGTGTGGATCTGAATAGAACTCCGGACTTAACAATTACTACCATGTTTGCATGTGGTGACGGATTAAGAATATGGATTGTCGCCACCCCCTATTCATCTCGTGGGTGTCGTAAGAGCCGACTAAGGGAGCAAACTACGCAGGACAATAGCACTGCATAGAATAGAATAGAAAGGAAAAGCAAAACTTAAAACAACCCGTCTGGCCAGCGTGGAATGATTCGATTAATGATACTATACCAATGTAAATACGCTTCCAACTCAAGCATTTCGCTTAGCTAGCTTTCTAATCCTATTCTGTAACAATACCAGTAATGTAAAGTAAGACATTAATAGTATTTTGATAAAATCAAGAATTAAGATTAGATTAAAACATTTTAAAGACAAAAAAAACTCGTTTGGTTGACGGATTTAAACGTTGAGGTTTTACGAGAAGCTAACTCCTTAATTATTAGAATTTATTCATACTACTAAGCGATTATCACGATGACCGCGTTCGGTGCTGAGATTGCGATATAAAATAAACTCGCACTTGGGCCTGTGATATGTTTTTAACAGAACTTAATGACACTTTCTTTTTTTTTGCACACACTTTTGCCGTTCTTACAATCGTAATCCTGAAGGCGTTTAGAGCTTCAGCCATATACCTTCGACGGAAGAGGGCAGGTACCATTTACTAGCCCTACCACACCAGATTTTGAATAAAAGCTATAGTAGTCCACTTACCTCAGCTGTAATTTCATTGTATAATAGTCGCTATAAGATAAAACATATAAATCCACATATTTTGACTAAGGTGTAGAATTTGTGAAGTTATTTTTTTATTTAAAAAGGACAACTCAACAAGGACAAGGACAAGGTGGTTTTACCGCTATCGACCGAAGTCGGAGACGGAGATTTTAAAACTGAATTAGCGGAGTCGGAGTAGAAGATAGATATGTTGACTGTTAAGGGCAGACGTAATCAAATTAAAGAAACATAATATAGTAGTCAGTCTCTTTATTCAGTCAAGTCAGTTAAATTTAAATCATAATACACATACGTAGGTAAATCAACAATAGAAAAATATGCTTAATTTACAACTTTAAATCAATTTGAGTGACTCTAAATGTACCAAATTGTACTTAATAAACAAAAACATAGCAGCTTTATCTAAATTCAGTCTATTCCTCATCGGATCAAATATTAGGCCAACGCCACTAAAAAGTTGCTCACTTGCCACTGAGCCTGGTGGACACGATAAATTTTGGCGAACAATCGAGTACAACGTTTGAAATATTGTATTTACTCTCCACTGTAGTAAAGGATCGTTCGATCGAAGTTCAGTTTCGGGGTCACTTAGAGGGTAAGGTCAATTCGGCCTCGAAGAAGCTCGGTGTGCTGAACAGATCGAGGCAGTATTTCACTCCGGCCCACCGCCTTCAGCTCTATAAGGCGCAAGACCGGCCGCATATGGAATACTGTTCTCATCTCTATGCAGGGGCACCTCAGTACAAGCTTCTCCCTCTGGACGGCATCCAACGAAGAGCGACTCGAATCGTCGATAGCCCAAAAACATCACCGATCCTTTGGCGTTACGTAGAGATATGGCTTCACTCTGCATTCTCTATCGCATATATCATGGAGAATGCTCCCATGAATTGTTCGGACTAATACCAACCGCAAATTTCCGCCATCGTTCCACACGGCAAAATTTTCATCCTCATTACCTGGATAATTGACGCTCCACTACTGTGCGCTTTTCGAGACACTTCTTGCCCCGCACAACCAATCTGTGGAACGGATTACCGTCTGTCGATACGACCTTCAAACCTTCAAGAAATGAGCGTACTTCTTCATAAAAGGCCGGCAACGCGTTTGTGACTCCTGAGCTGCAGACGTTCATGGGCGGCGATGGTCACTTTCCATCCGTGACCCGTCTGCTCGTCAGCCCCCTCTAACATAAAAAAAGAAAAGAAAAGGTAAGCTCTTCCCTACAATGAATTAATCAGTAGGATGGCTATCGGTTGTGGTGTCAGCATCCTCATCATCGCTACTCATCAGTATAATTGATAAAATAGATTGTACATTATTGCTAGATTGGACATTATTGCTAAGTTGCTCAGCTGATGTCGATACGAACCTTGCCCGTTTTTCAGCAGGAGTGTCAGTATCACTATGTATAAAAAACAAGCAATGGAAGTAATGTTTTTTTTATTATATTTTAACGCTAGTAATTCGTCTTTATACCTATTCACTACTTATGAAAAGGATGCATTTCTAAATTTTCAATTGCACATACTTAAAAAAAAACCACCAAGAAGTAGTTAACTGTTCCGCTAGAGTGTACTGCACAGCATTGGATTTTATTATTTCTATATTTATTTATATGATTGATGACTCTTGATTTTGTTG